TCCCGCAAAAACAAAGTCAGTAACATTGGACTCGGGATTTTGCCGATGGGATTTCTATGGGACATTCTATGGGATTTCTTGGAAGGGGAGTGTGACCGGCCCACATTGAGAGTGTTTTTTTCTTCAGGAGGTAAGTGTGAAGGTTTGGGATCACCGTCAGACGCAGTCACCCTGGTACGGGTGACTTCTTGTAGATCCAAACAGGATATCATCGTTGAGGTTTGTTTGTTTGTATAAGCCAACGTGAGATGTTTACTTGTAGCAACTTCACCTATTGTCAGCTGCAATACGACATTTGTGCTGACCAGACATCAGTCACAATAGATTTGTATCAACACCGTGAGTCTCCTCGGTTGCTTCTGAGGCGCGGTGCAGCTGCTGGGGCAGTCTCCTGCGGTGTTTGGGGTGGATTTTGGGGCCTTTGCAACGGAGGGGTCTTGGGCTGCTCCGTCCCTTGGCCGACTCGTTGGGTCGAGTCGGATGCGACGAGTCTACCGGGGACGAAGACCTACCGAGTCTAAGTACTAGCTGCTTCTTTGATCCGGTTGAGGATGCTTGCTTTGCTATGAAATCACATTTAAGCTCCTCTTGAACTCGCCATGCATTGCCCGATCACATATTGCCCGGTCACAATTGTTGATACTCAATTGGCTGGGCGACAAATGGCTGTAGATAATATCACAAATTGACAACGACTCTAACTCATCTCAGTGCCACGCATTTATCCGACAGCTTAGTCTCCATCTCTTTCTCATCCAACCTTGCCCTGCCCAATGTGAAGCAAGACAAAAGTGAGCTACGACCCAAACAACCAAATGGGTGATCTAGTGGGGGTTGCAACCAGTTTCTGCCAGGATTTGACCATAGCTCAAGCAAACAAATCTTCCTTTGCAGACCAAACATGTGATTTTTCCAGATGTGAATCTATGTGAAACTGTCAAGAGTCGTTGTCCGACATTTTGCCGTGTTGTGATTGCACAACATGTGTGTTTTTTGTTCAAAGCGATATTCATATCATTGATGACGATGTTGCGTGCATGTCAGACATCGGAGGTAAAGTCATCATGAGACTTAATTCGATTGTGGAGCATTGAGCATGATGTAGACATATGTAGACTCTTGATATCTCTTGATTAAACCCACCCATTTGGATGGTCAAAACCTTTTCAAACGGGTGGTTTATCAATCAAGAGTCTGGGAATTGCAGAGTCGCGAAGAGTCGCATGATCAAAGCAGCAACCTCAAGCAGCAACATCGGAGGCTTCGGAGATGTTCGGATAAAAGTCAGCGAACACACTTGGACCACTTGGAATATCAGGTGCAAGTCCATACCACTCACCAACAGGGATTCGAGCTGCTCCATCTCTAGACTATTTGTAGATCTCTAGACAGTGCAAGAACAGAGCATAGTGAGCAAGGTGTTCTCTTCCTCAGCAATATGTTGCAGACATAGCGTGATACCGGTGACAAGGGTGGACTTGGTAAATGATAGGTTGTGGCATCATCCTCATTTCTTGCTACTTGATATGGGCCTCAAAACTGATGCATATCAAATCTCAGTACGTGTTGCACACAGTTGCACAACGATACTGTCAGGATGCTTTCGGGATTCGATTTTGGGACCTTTCACGGCTGGACATGGTTTGCTCTCCCGCCGTGAAAGGCCTTTCCACCGATGTAAGGTCGGCCTCCTGGCTGCGCCATTCACCTTAGGCAACATGTCTGGAAGAATCGTGTCGGTCGTGAGTTGGCGATGTGCAACGGCTGTTTCTTCCCGCGTGATATGGCAATAACTATGCATGCATATATATATATACTGTATATATTGTATGTTTGTTGATGAAAGGATCCTATGGATTCTTGCAGTTCTTTAGTTGAGAGACAATCACCTTGAAACACTGGGAACAGTACCGGGAACGGTTCGTCCTGGGAACGATTCGTCCTGGAAGAGCTGATTGGCCAGGGCATTGCATGCCGCTGTTGCAACAGTTTGTCAAGCTTGATGCTGGCGAGCTTTGTCAGTGAGACATGGGCGTTCCATTTGGAGTGTGCAGGAGTTAATGTTCAGGAGACTCCCACTCTTAGTGGTTGGCATACTATGGAATGCTCTTCCGGTGATTGGCGCGCGATCGATATGTGAGGTTTCTCAGTGCCAGTACTCACCGGCATGATGGCATGGACTGGACTAGTGGTAGGCCCGGTGGGCGAGAAGCGGCTTCGAGCGGGACTGGGGCAAGCAAGAGCCAGCACACATGTTGCAGATGTGAAAGAGGCCTACAGCATGGAAGAACCCAAAGGTGTAGATAAGGGATATATGTTTGCATTGTCATCGTTGGTCGTTACACAGAAGCTGCCCTATCACATATTTCAGTTCGCACAGAAGTCATTTTGTACTTTGCAACTCCGGGCTTGATTCCATTTGTAAATACAAGGCAATCCAGTCCTTTGGCTGCTGCAAAAATACTTGTGCAAGTGCAATCGTAGACATATCATTCACAATCATCATACAGTAGACATGTTGATGGACTTTTCCATCCCAAAGGTGCAGCGAAAGATTTTGAGAGGAGAAGCCGTCTTGAACGATAGGTTCCTCTGCTGGTGTTGGTGCTGGGCTGGTAGGCGCCTTGGCTGCAGGTGGTAGTCGATGGCCTCCACCCCAATAGCGATGGCCTCCAACCTAAGAGCGATGACCTCCAACCTAAGAGCGATGGCCTCCAACCTAATAGCAATGGTCTTAGTCTACAGTATTTTGCTGAAGGGGTATGTATGTGCGACATAGACATTGTCACCATCAACATGAATATCATCGTCTACATGAACACTTACCCCAAAACCATCATTTGGCCTTATTGTCATTGTCCGCATTGGTGTGATTAATAAGTAGGTTTACGCTTCAAATACCTGTTAAACGGTTGCACGTATTTATTTGCACGGTTAGTAGTTTTTTGTTTGTTTGTTTACATGGTTTACAGAGATTCACAGCAACTGGAGGCTCTAAAGGGTGATGTCTCAATGCAGCTGCTTCAGAACGACCGACCGAGAACGCGGCTGATCTGCGGCTGATGTGCCGCGGGCTCACCGATCGACCCAGGCGGCGGTTGTGCAGGCTACCTCTACAGTGTTCATGATGCTGCGCAGGATGCGTTCTCCGCATTTTTTCTGCGTTTGGGTGCTGTACTGTTTTATGATGTTTTATGCGAAATGAATGTCTTATTCGCAAGCCAGTTTGGTGTGAGCTGCTGGGGTACGAGGCTGCCATTGCCCGTTTAGGTGTGGCCTGGTGTGACTGAGGTCCCAACATGTTGGTATTTGGTATGATCCTGTCATCAAACATAGCCAGGCTGTCAAGCATTCTGGAGTATGTTGCCTGGATGGTGGGGCGCCACGAAAAAGTAGCCGCTGTTAAACGAAGCGCTGTAATTGAATATTGGTCGTCTGGGGAAGTACCATGCGACCATATATATATATATATACATCAATGTACTGTGTGTATGTGTAGATGTCGTAGAATTTTGTGATGTTTTGAAAGGCCTTTGTTTATTTTCATCATTCCTATGCATAGGAGAAACAAATCCATTCAGTTTTCAGGGATAGTTTAACATGAGCCCATCTCGAGGTTCCTTGGGGCCGGTCTTAGAGAACTAGTTGACTAGTATAATCCACATGTCCACATTATCCATACCTAGGAAAGCCTAGGCAACACTCACTTCTATCTAGTCACAAGATGTAGCCAACAAAGAACAGCAATTTGGCTAGACTCCCGTAGATTGTTACTCTTCAACCAGCCAGCTTTCGCCCACATCATCGCTTGCCTGCGCTTCTTGCTCGTTTGTCAGACACCCTTTTCAGGAGCAGCGCCGTCGACCACGTCGTCGCGTCCTGCGAGAGAGGCGGGGCGCCGCCTAATTCGTGTCAAGAGAAGTTAGCGATGAGAGGTGTGGTAAGAGGTCAGGATGTGCTGAAGATCAGGGCAAGTAGTTTTTCTCATGAACACTGCACTCATCTGGCAGTAAAACTACCTACCGTGAGTTCAGAGCAAAAGAATCCACAACTTGGGGGTTGTTGGGTTGAAGGAATCATCTATATATATAACTTGCAGATGATGAGCACTGACATTCTTACCACACCTTTTCTTCCCTGCACTTCTCGGCCATTTCTGAGACGATAATGGCAGTTGATAGGTGGATTTGCTGCTGTCCTGCTGTTGGTTTGATTACTCGAGAGTTGTGACTTGAGTGCAAGCCTTGCAACATCGACCTGGTCCGGTCACTTGAGTCATTTCAGAGGACATCAATTCAAGCTGGGACGTCAGCAGATGCCAAGTTTCACTCCCAATGTCAGATCTCACCGTTTGAAGCACCGCACGTTTGATGCTCCGCTCCGGATACCGTGGAGCTTGTTGCGACGTTGAGAGACATGGTGCCCACACGGCTCGTCTCCCTCGTCTCCGCGGGAGCTATGTGATGCTCTCCGGAACCGGCGTTTGGGAACGAAGGATCGTGTGGACGGCGAAGACGTGCGGATGAGTTGGTTCGGGTTTCCCGGGGGATGGTTTGCTCTCGTTTTCAGGAATTTGTTGGGAAGTCTACTGAGAAAGTGCAATGGAAATACTTGGAATATCTTTGAACCCAAGCCTTTTCAAAAAGGTGCCACCAAGCCAAGGCATTTGTGCTTAGCAGTTTCACCGCGTGTTTTCAATTTAGCCTGTCATCCTCTCTCAAAGCCTCCTTTCGGCCGTGTACAATTGATTATAATTGCTTTATTGGTAAGATAATTGCTTTATTGGTAAGAACCTGACTTATCCTCGTAAGAAAAGCAACCTGGCCTCCTCAGAAGCATCCTAAGACCTTCAAGTTTGATCGTTCCGCCCCTCCCAGCTTCGCATGGAGATGGAATCCTATACGTGTCAAAGTGTTTGCTGTCAATTCCAATCAACAAAAGGACCCGACAGCATCCGGGGCATGGGTACTTCGCTCTTCACGGACGCTGTCAGCAGTCAGGCAGTTCACCTCTTGGGAGACGGCTGAGGCGGGAGGGTCGGCCAGTCGATGGACGCCAGCATGGACTCCTCACCGGCTGAGATGAATCACCAACGTTCACCACAGTTCTTGTTCGCTGATGTGACCTTCTTGGTGGACACATTGTGGAAGATCGATGTCAAGGGATGTTATTGTTCTTTTCATCGCTTTTGATCGAGTCCATTTTCAAGGGACTCGTGACTCGGTTCTGAAAAACAACGCGACATGACAAGTCGTTTGATCAAACGACGTTTGCAGCCAACCACTTTTGGTTCAAGTGCCCAGCAGGTCGGCCAGGCCATCGTTCTCGGCCGACAACGACAGCCATGCTCAGCCGCCCCGCGAGTGCGGCCGTGCTGCGGCGCCGGGCGCTGCTGGCATGTCGTGCAATGGGCACGTCCATTCCACGCTCACCTGCGGCATCCCGGGCAAAAGTGAAACGATGGTGTGGAAACGAGGTGACACCATATATATAATATCATGTAACACCCAGGCACCAAGCTGTCCACCAGAGCCTTGGTGGTGACCAATTACAAGAACTATTAACTCACAACAATGCAGGCCGAGTGGCGATATTACAAGCTGTCAATACTCAGCTGAGATGGGTTTTGATGTCTTGATCTTTCGTCCAGCAAGAATCAACAACCCCCAAGGCTTTGCAGCAAAATGTTAAGCAGATTCAGACTGGTCGGATGACTCGGATGACTCTTGCTTGAAGGCAACATTTGCCTGCAGCTTTCAAGCTGACCAATTCTGACATCACGCGCTGTGTGAACAAACATAAATATAACACTTGCCAATGCCCGGCTGCAACAAGCAACACTAGACCTGTGAAACGTTGGCGCGTCGACTCGCTTGCCAGGTGGTCCAACCACAATTTGATCGGTGGCCGAACGGGACTGCCTGGGACGGGTCGAACGCCCCTGAGGTACGACGTCCGGTCTCCGCTGCGACGTACTTCACGATCGCTCCGAGACGGTGGAAGAGTCAGATTGCCGCACGGGGTGGTTGCATGGAGCACTATCTCCAACTGAAGTCCAGTGGAGAAACTTGATTGACTTATTGTTTTATTTGTTTGTTTTGTTTCTATGTGTTATTGGAACTTGCTATAACACTGCATGCTAATTTGTGTTTTTTGTTGCCTTTCCTGGTTGTCTCCGAGCGATGTCGGTTCAATGTTTGACCCCAAGGCACTTGTTTGTCCAATTCTTTTGGCACTTGCTTTCTCGGCGCTTGCAGGTGTAATGCATTTGAGTTTCACCTTCAGGTTTGCACGGCCAGCACCATCGTATATCACCCCTGCGAGACAAAAAACATCAAAACACATCAAAAACATTCAAAAACTATAGATCTTCAAGCGGCACTTTCTTATGCTGTTTTGATTTTGACATGCACCCTTTCGAAACAAATGCGCCGGAACACCACATCCACTCCCACCCAACCACCTCCGCTGTCACGCCTGACGGTGAAGAAGGTGAAGAGCAAGAACAAGAGAGTGGAAAAAAGAGAGAGACATGGGCTGCATCGCGCCTTGCTTTTTGGCTTTGTGGCTGTTTTGTAGTCCAGACATGTCTCATCCGTAACCTTGTACCTCTCAGTTGCGGATTTCATCGAGATTCGATCGATGACCCGATCACTGATTGTGTCAACACTGCGATGAAGCCCCTCACAGCACAGGTTCGACTTAGCCAAAGATTGTGGCTGTGTAGCACTTCAGGAGACACCTTGCAGAGTCACAAGTTTCGATGATAGCTGCTTCAGCTGCTGGATGCCGATGGCCAATACTCTGCACTGTGCACGGAAAGTCGCGCTACAAGAAGGAGCCACCCGCACAACAATGTGCTATCATGGCCTGTCACACTGGCCCAAGCAAAGCTCCGTGCATCCAGATAGTTGAAGAGCGAGCAGCAGAATGAATGTAGCGCCGGACTGTTGGCTAAAGACCACAGCTGAATGTTGTAAACGAGCAGGGAAATTGAACTGCTGGTCACCCTCGCTGTCACAGTACCCTAGCTGGCCCAAGCATATCAGCGTGCTGCCTGAGAGGTCTCTACCCAACCCACACTTTCACGAAGCAAATCCAAGCGAAACACAGCCGCAGGGCAGCAAACTTGAAAAGGAATCTTGGTGAGAACCGGGGCTGGCACATCTGGCCATGGCTTTCGAGCAAGCACCGTGTCCCACCATGGCGGATTGTCTGACACAGCCTCAAAGTCCAGGCCTTTCTGAAGTGAGCAAAAATGTGATTTGTTCTGTCATTGAAGTAGGAACGGCAGGGTTGCCGATTTGGTGATGGAACTTGAGGACCCCCTTACAGCCAAGACTAGCTTCTGTGCGCAATCGCTGTACGTCCACGGCTACAATTTCCAATGCTCGGTGAAGAGTGGCTTTCTTTCGATGACCTTCCAAAAAATGTTATTTTGGCCTGAACTGAAGTCTTTTGCTGCACTTAGCCAAGACACCTGCAACTTCAAGACTGCTTCCACATGGAACCTTTCCATTGGTAGTTGCCTGTGATGCCAGCCAGCACTGATCCGTAATGATCACCTGCATCTGGCACTTGCTCGGAAAAGGCAGGGGTATGGAGTGTCACATGCCACCACTCCCTGCTTGCCAAAGACGACGGCAGAAACCTCAGACCAGAACTTCAGGGGGAATCCACCAGACCAGTCCTTCACCTTTTGGATAAAGCATGACGAGTGCAAGGAGGGCGCCGGATCAAAGCCATCAGGATAACGGGATCGAACAAGCCAAAAACGCATCAGATTCACCAACATCGGCTAATCTCTAACTTTGCCGTTTTTTTTTTTCGCCGTAACGGCATTGCGCTCGAAACTGCAAATATGTGCGCCGCTTTGAGGTTGAAGGATATATATATATATATATCTGTGTGTGTGTTGAAAGATTTGAGCACTTTTTAGGACGTCTTTCATGTGCTTTGCGCAGAGTTGTCCAGCGCACCGAATTCAGGACATCCAAGAGGATCCGCGTCAGGAAGTTTGCATGAAGATGTTGGACGACCTGGCGCAACAACTGGCAGCTTGTCCTGGAAGTTGCTGACATTGCTGGTGCAAGCAGCAAATGCCGGTGTAGGTAGCTGCGGGGGAAATTAGCAATGGTGTGCCCAACGGTGGGCACTCCCTTGGGAGAGATGAGAGAAGGTCAACAAAAAATCGTACTGCATGTTTCATGAGGCTTCCGAAAAGGGTTGACTCCTTGTCTAGTCCAGGATCATTGTGGCAAGTTTGTCCAATAAGTGAAGGGCGCGTTGAATGATATCGTTGAGAAATAGTTTCACAGCTCAGTTTGCACTGTCCAAGGCACAAAATATATCAGATGATGTTTCAGACAATATGTTGTTCGTGTTTTTTGTTTGACACATGATAATGTTGCTCGAATGTTGGTTGATTGAAGGGCACAGGGCCTCGTGAAACTCAAAAGTTGTAAGACACCTAGTTGTTGAACCAGATATATCCGTGACATAATCTGAATGATATTGTTTATGTCCCCAGATATACACATAATAAATCATAATAATGAGAAGAAATGCCAATGGAGGTGTGGGTGTTTTTTGCAAAACTATTTGTTGGAAACTAATTAACAGTTTGCATGAGTCTTGTGATCTAGAATCCTTTTCGGCATGCAATCCAGGGATCCAACCAGTCCATGCAGACCAAGCATTGGTTCTGCAGCTTGCGATCCAATCGCGTGCCGTTTCAGGAAGGCTATTCGCCCAAGATGACCAGAGTATCTAAGGCCGCGCCAAGCAAGGCCAGTTCGGTCGCCACTGGGGCGCGTTTTGTGGATGTTTGAACTTTATTATACGGGTTTTCGTTTGTGAGAATCCTCGGAAACGTCTCATTCCGAAAGGAATTCGATCTCAAGGGGTGTTGGATACTGGTTCGTCGGTTCCGGAGCCCCGGAAACCATGCAAGAGAAAGGATGTTACAGACTGCAGACATTCATCTCATCGTGATAAAACATGACAAACTTACGCAAGAGAAGGAGACCTGACTCGGGGAGAAGAGCATCTTCACCGGGGGAGTTCCATTGAGGGACGACTTGGAGCCCACAAAGTGGTGGTGACTACCATCGTCGTAGCTAGTCCCAAAGGGTGCTTGATGGATAGTACGGCCGCCCATCATCATACTTTAAGAGTCTCGACATCCCTGCCTCAAGGCGTTGAGGTTTTTGAATGTTCCACAATAAAACGTCCCATCCTCACCTGGTACATCACTCATTTCCCACAAAAAGTGTGTCAAAGGTGAGACCTTTTCGATCACCAACTCATCCACTTCCAGTCGGATACGGCTGCTTTTCTGGGTTCCCACGAGCCACCGTGGCTTCCATCGATCCCGCGCGTAATCCGTCGCGGATCCCACGAGCCACCGCAGACTCCGGCGTCTTCCTCCAGTGGCGGCCTCTTTGGGCTTTTCGGCGCTCCAAAGCCGGCGGCGAAGCCGGTGCCACGGCAGCGGTTGAGAACTGGAACTTCCTGGGTTCTTGGGGGATGAGGTTGACCAGTCTGGGAAGACAGTTGCATCTATTCTATAAGTAGAACATAGTCGAACTGCCTAGGAAAAGATACGGAAACAGTTGATTGGCTGTAACATGTAGAAACGATCTTCGCAAACTTTTGCCTATGGTTAGTGTTTCAAGATGTTATATGATTGTGCGGGGAAGAAGGCTCATTTTGATGATTGGTTGATCATTCCACGGACCTGATCCCTGAAACTTCTCATGTCGAGGGTCTTCAGTTCTTGGGGAATGGCTTGCGACCGAAGTTGTGAAGAGGTGTTTGGCGAAAGAGTCTTGTTGGAGTTCCGGGACACCCGCCCAATGCTGAAAGTTTGTCTTGCAATTTCCACACGTGTTTTTTGTGTATGTTTATGTTTACTAGCAGCTAGCATTACTTTGATATGTTCAATTGCTGCGTGTTGTTGAGTTGTCATGCATTGAGGGCGCTGTTTGTCCCAGCCATGTCATTGACCGTGCCTTGTTCAAGTGCAAGGATTTAGAACTGTCAAGTCTCACGCCAAAGAAAAGCCTCGATAAGTTTGTTTATAGGAACGCCAATATCCAGATGTAGACCCTAAACTCATCAAAAACCTCCGACAGGGCGCCGGGGTCCTCTATTTTCACACAAATTGAACTTAAAGACAACAGAATCAAGGACCGGAGGACCAAATTTCCTCGAATCATTTGGTCATGTTGACTCTATGAAGTGTATTCTTTGTCGCATTTCTTGACCACAAAGTGACCACCTGAAACCGCCGTTGAGGCCGTTTCTGCCGCACCTGCGGCCGTTCTTCAGCCGGCGAGCGGGCAGAAGGGGCTCTACTTGTGGGGCGGCACTGGCACAGGGAAGACATTTATGATGAACATGTGCCCTGCCTATGTTTGAGGAGACGATCGCCTTTGGAGGCCATCGTTATTAGGTTGGAGGCCATTGCTACTAGGTTCAGGTTGGAGGCCATTGCTACTAGGTTCAGGTTGGAGGCCATTGCTCCTAGGTTAAACAAGCTTGAGGAGAGGATTGTCTTTGGAGTCGGAGACCATCGCAAGATCGGTTTGTCCTACGCCCAAGCATTTGGGTGAGACCCTCTTCAGGATGCTGCTCTTCAGCCATTCTTAATAGGCTATAAATAGGGCGGAACATCCAGAGGCGAGGGAGTTGAAGTGAGGGGATTCACTTCGGTTGATTCTTACGTGGGGGACCTTCAAAGGATCAGTATGGTGTAAAAATGGTTGCGGTCAGTGCTTGGTGCTTCCAATGGTTGAACAGAGTTGGCACAAATGCCCCCTTTTGGTTTGTTCAATGTTCTCCGAATCTTGAGATACTTCACCAATTTACAAGCATGTTTAGGACCTTTGCTGCATTGTCATAAGCCCTAACTGAAGTGTTTGCCAGTCATGACGTGTTCATGACGGGCTTGAGGTTTTCTGTGCAGGTTGTTGTGCATATGAGCATCCGACAAAATTGCTGCTAGATTAAGTATGTAAGGGACCACCCTTGGGCTTGTCAGATACAAAGAACGCCTTCACAACCAATGCGGGACAACCCAGCACCGATACCCCCATGCATACCAATATTGATTATTTTTTTGACTATTGGTTAGGGCTTGAGAGTAGCTTGTTGATGGTTGTTGATTGTTCGAGTCTAAGGGACCCTTCAATAAGACTATTTCTGACCATAGTGAGTTATATCATAGTAAGGGTTATCACACCATTGTCCATTGAGGTTGCCGGTTTTAACATGAGCAACAGTACAGGCGCGCTGAAAACAAATGTAGCACCTTGGGTTCCTGGCTGGAAGGTTTTGTGGAAAGTGAGGCAGGTCTCACCGATGCCCCTACTGATACTGACGATACCCGTGTTTGCAAACTTGCATGCTTCGGCAGCCCTTGTCCCGTTTCAGCGGCTGACACTTTGATCATCATTGCAAACGACCATGCAGGTCTGTCATGCAGCTGCAGTTTTCCTTTCTGGGATGCAAATGTTGCCATAATGAGCCCACAAAAAATCCCCACAGCTGGGCTGGGCGGGAATCCGCTTAGTAGATTCTAGTAGGCGATGGCACCATCGCAAGTCACGAACAAGTGTTGTGTCTTTGCAAGACAACGCTGTCTTCACAAGAGTGAGCCTTTCACAGCTCCAGAAGTTGGTCTGGAACCTGCTGCCGAGCTTGCTCCGGAGCCTGCTCCGGAACCGGCTTCGGAACCTGCTCTGCAACTTATTGTTTTGACAACCGATACCTGCACCATGACATCACACTTACAATCCCTAAACCCTCACAACCGATAGGGGACGACCCAGTTTGGCATATTGCACAATCGCACGGTGAAACATAGTGCTTGCCATTCATGTTCAGGGTCTATGTTCAATCTCTTTGGTGATGGAAACCGCTGAGGTTCCATGACAAGGTCAAGGTGCAGCACAAGATGCTGGCCGACAATGTTTCCGCGTGCGCGATGTGGTGCGTGATCCAGCTCCATGGGACTGGATACCAGCAGGTGCCCCCAACTGTTCAAGGAAAAACTTCAAAACAAAAGTAGATGGTGGACAAACAAATACACAATTTGCTGAGTTTTGCTGAGCAAAACGATGCCCATGGGCCCTAGGTTCAGCCCCCATGTGTCAGGAAGTCCACTCAAGTATGGACAGAAACACCAGCCCATCAGTGATAGTCCATGTCCAGAGATGTCCCAGGCCTTCGATATCACTGAAACAGATTGAACTGTTTGGCGAAGGGAGTCATGTGGAAGGACTGCAGAAAAAAAGATGGAGAAAGAAACCTGATGGCTGAGGGCCGCAAAACCTTCAGTTGGTCAAAGCGCTTGGTATTAAAGGAGGCTGTAAGAATGACAAAGCTGTGCCAGGGTATATATTTGCGATATTTGTAGTGGTCGGATTTTCAAGGCCCGTGCATCATTTAGAAATCTCAAACGACAAGCGCCTGCAGACTGTGTTCCTTGATGTTTCCCCAAGGAAGCGCATCCACTTCCATGAATGGATGATCGATGTGCATTCTCGACTGCACAAACGGCAGAAGGGAGGCTTGGTGACACCAACGTTGTCCAAAAAGAGATGCAAATGGGCTGGACTGTTGAGAATGCACAGCCGGAGGAGCTGCACCTGAAACACGCATCAAATCTATGTATAGTACTATGTATAGTATACTACATGTATTCATATAACTAGTCAATCCATCAGGGCCAGGGCCCTGTGCAAAACATGCTGCCCACCGCAATGAGATTTAGGTTGTGTGTGTGAGCTGTGAACTTTGAACCTTCTTCTTACACCAACAATCACGAGATGTGCAAAATCAAGACGTGTCCATCCGCAACATAGTCATTATTGTTTATGCTCTAATGCGCATTGCCAGAGGTAAAACATTGTGGTTTGTTCATGCACCTCACACGATTTCACTCATGGTTTATTGGAGCATGGCTGTGTGCAATGCAAGCATGGGGCAACTTGTCGAAAAGGTATTAATTTCCCTCCAGGTCCAATGCTTGTCCCGTTTGTGCACGTTATTTCTCTATAATCCATAGGCCCTTATTTATCCTCTAACGGGTAGCCAAGGCTCTGTTGCGAGGAGAGGGGTGGGAGGCTGGGTAGGGCTGTAATTTATCGCTTCCTCTTTTGACGGTCCTCTATTGGCCTGGTGGCCGATGGTGTTGAGGAAGCAGCGCCAACACGGATAGCACGGCAGATGACCTCGTTGAGCAGGTGGGGCCTTGTTTTGTCGTCGTTGAGGAACTAAAACTAAAACTCGGAGATGGCGACATGATGGCGTTCGAGCGAGAGTGAGGGAGGGTTCGAACAGAGTGTTACTTTGGATGAGTTCTAGAGATTTGCTTTGGGTTGGGAGGCAGGTTTTCTTGGTTTGGTGATTTTGTTGGCTAGTTTGCTTGTCGATGCTTGGGATGTGCAATTGTTGATTTCAGCCAAAACAATAAGACAACGTTTTGGCATCCAATGCATAATTGGTTGTTACTATGTACTGAAGGTAATTAAGTATTGAACTGGGTAGGGCAACACAACTACTGTAACAATAAACACTTGGCTCTTGAGATCAAGTAAAGTTATCTCTGCCCTTGTAGCCGACCCAATCAAGCAAAAACAATGCACCCATCAAAATCAAAGTCGAGCTTCTGACTAAGGCCTAGTGTACAAATGATGCCAAGCAAGAACTACTTTTGTTGAGCAATCAAGCCTGTTTAAGAAGGAGTCAGTCAGACCAGTTTCTTTGTTCAATCAAGCTTTTGTCAGCGCAAAAGGCGTGAGACCGGCGTATGAGTGCCGGGTAGCAAAAGGCCAACTGTGCCAGCAGTGGAAACGTTTGATCACCTAAAAGGTTGGCAAACAAGCTGGAGGAGATGGTGATGTTCAATCGTATTCACTATAATTAAGTAAGAGATTGCAAATTAATGACGCGCAGGCAAAGACTTTCCACAATATGGTTGTCATGGCTTCTCTTCGGAGTTGCCCTCGCTCGCTGCCAATCCTGTGCAATTAGCCTGCAAACATGTTTGGCCAAGTACTGGTACTTCAGTGTTAGCCTTGTCAGGTTGCGGCAGACATGATGAAAGAAGCATGGCTGTGGTGCTTTGACGAATTCCAAGTGACCCATATCAGCCACTTGACTGTTTCAGGCGCTTGAGAAAAAAAACACCTCAATGTGGATATCGCCAACAATGCATAACGATCTACCGGTGATGTCTTTACCGTCGGGTCATTTGTGAAAACGGCACCGCGGCGCCTAATCCCGACGATCACCGGTGAGTTCAAGGGTATGCAAGGGTTGCAGGGTTTGGTAAGTCCGATATGGTTTAAGATGTTTCGAAGGCCAATGTAGATAAATATACAGTAGATTGTTGGGAATGTTGTTTTTCTACTTTCCAACCGTGGACTTCCATAGACTCAGGCGATGCCATCATCATGAAGCGCCATTTGGCAGTTCTTGGATCGGGACTTGGGTGTGGAAAGTCAACTATCGACTAGTGCCAGAAACCGATGATCAACTATACAATGGGGCAACCAAATCCAATTTGGGTGTATAATTTAATAGAAAGATCTCCAACCAATGGGTTCTCTTCTATTTTCCTTCTTCCAGGGTCGAACTGGAAGTTTTTCCTATTTGAGCTACACACCCGATTTGGTGTCGATGAATCCAAGAAAGTTGGAGAACCAATCCTATAGTTCCTATGGAGGGAACCGTTTGGCATCTCGGAGCCAAGCAAGAATCCTGCTTGAAGGCGAGGTTGGTCCTGGCTCGCGGGTGTTCGGAACAGACAAAGTCGAATCCGATTTGGTGGGAAATTTCGAAGGTGAGAGTGGCTCACTCCAGGTGCTCACTCCATCTCATCCTAAAAAATAATTAAAGTGCTCACTCCATTGTTGATGAGAATGGCTGAACACCCGAAGTTCAACTTGCTTTTCAGAGTTTGTCCAGAAGACAACCCTGCGGAAGTGAGGGGAAAGCTCCTGAACTGGGTGAGCATAGATTTGAACCTGTAGGGCTACTTTCTTGATGGATGGTCCGGGCGCCTTGCAAGCAGCCGGATGGATCGGGGCTCCACGAGAAGGGGAAGTGCTTGCCCTAGTACTCTTTTGTTGTTCGACCTCCCATATCATCATCATCATCATCATCATCATCATCATCCATATCCCACAGTCTGGTTTCCTTCAAGTTTTGCAGTCCAGGACCTGGCAGAGTGCAATGGATCTTCCTTCACACTAAAAAAACATAAAACATCCTTCTCGTTTAAAAACAAAAAAACGTCAACACACATATTTGATGTTCAGTTGTTGCAGCTCTTCACCTGTGTCACAGGCTGTGTTGAGCATCTTCTCCGTGTCAGGCATCTTCTCCGTCCTCTTCGAGCTGGGAGCCGTGGTGGTGGCAACTTCTAATCGCCCGCCCAAAGACTTGCGCCCTCACCGGGGCGGTGTTCGCACGGAGGAAGGGCCTCCTAATCCGATCAACTATATATATATAGGGAATGAGGGGTTTGTGTGTGTGTGCTCAGTATCAGGAAAACCACTGCTGATGCACTGATGGATCCTGCTGTTTACGTTTGCAAGCAATTACTCAAGATTTGTTTCCATCATCTCCATGAATAGCATCAAGAGCAGGGGAAGTTTGGTAAGTTTGACAGATTGTTTGACCCTAGGTGCTTGTTGCGGCAATGAGTATTGGATGTGGAATGTGGTAATAGATTTGCAGGTTAACGTCACTTGTCCCGGTCCCGAGATCATGTGTTCCAAGTAAGAAGAATTGACGACATGTGTTTGAAATCAGAATTGACGAAGCATGGGGGGTGTGATTGAAATCAAGCAACCACATAATTATCTGGGGTCGTCGAAGAGTTTGAGGTCAAGTTAGAGTCGACCAGCTGGATCATGCAGCTAAACATTGATTATGAACCAACCATGGGCACACGGTGACAGGCGTGGGTGAGTCATTCCTCTGAACAGGTACTTAAATGGACTGAACCGGCCACTCTTTTTGCTGCTTGGATTGCGAAAACGATGCTTTTTGTCCCTTTATCACATGCCAAAGTGGATGCCGTTGCCACCTTACTAAGTCATATATTTGTCCAAGGAATAAAAGGCTGAGAGATGCCCCGAGTTCAAAACGGATGGTGGTTAGACCCGTGGATGACACTGCAGCGTCAAAACAGAACTTCCCTTGGGAGGACGCTGGCAAACTGAGATTCACTGGGCTGTTTTTGTTTTGCAAACTCGCAAACTTTAGTTTGATCAAATCTGATCAGTTTCAGGGATATCGGGATATGCAGGGGCTTGCTTCTTTGATAAGTTGTATACGTTGCTACGATGAAAGGATTTCTTTCTAGGTGCCATGTGCTTAGATGCAATGCGGACAATGTCTTCCTCTTGTTTTCTGGCAACCCTGTATTGTCTATAGTTAGTGGGTTTTCCAAGACAACGCTTGTTTGAAGATGGCGCATGGCTGGAAGATCGCGGTCCGACCTTCCGACCTTCCGACCAGAGAAACCGCGGGACGGTGGCGACCGAAGGCCGTTCATTCCAATGCTCGAGTCCTTTTGCCACGTGCATGACATTGGGGCGGTGCCTTTGCTTGCGGTCTCGCGGCGCGAAGGCCGTCAGGCGAAAGTGCGTCCTTGCGACTGGGTCGTTAGTGTCATATCCGTTTCAGGTTTGGATGGTCGAGTCGATTACCGTACCAAACTGGGTGCCACTTGCTGCCTTCTGCGGACCTGCCAGCATGCACAAGTAAATTTATACATAGATCTACTGATTTACTGTGTGCAGTTTGTCAGGATTGAACGGGATGATCCCCATGAGAGCAAAGAGAGCAAAGACCTGGAGACCTTTACCTGGAGACCTTTGCTTCACTTCTCAACACTGTTAATTAAGAAGATCATGACTTGACTTGCCAAGTTTGAAGACGGTTTGCTTCGCTCATGGAGGCTTGCGTGAGAGGTTGTGTTTTGCACGCTTAAAGAGGGGTTGAAGAGCGCTTACGGCATACGGCAAGCATTTTCCCCACACTTTCCTCTACCAGGATACCTTTGAAAGCTGTCCTCAAAGGATATTTTGGGATTGCAACGGGACACCCGAGGAAAAGGACACTTATCCATGTCCATCCCATTTGATATCACAATGATTTCGGATTTGCTTCGAATTCGCATCGAACTCGGTGACGTTGCCTCAGGAAGTGGATTATCGAATGTGTTCATCTCGAGATGAAGAGGATGATCGTGTCTACATCACTCCCAACGGTTCCGATGAGATCAAGATCTTGGAAGCAAAGTTTGCAAAGTGCCTGGGCGGGTCTTTGAATGATTTGCCAGGATATCTGGATGGACCCACCATGGCGATCCCAGCTTTTCATCATTTTTCATCTCAAGAAACGAGGTCTTCCTCCATCATCCTTGATTGTGGAGAAATTCTCCACAGGGCAGGATTTGGAGCATTTTGGAGCAAACCATCCAATTTCAATAGGCTCCATATGTATCTCATCTACTTGGCTCATCTACTTGGCAACGAAAACGACATCTCGCGAAAGCTGAGGATTTGTCAGGGCCACGTCCGCTTCGGCGTGCAAGTGGAGACACAGGGTCGAAGCTGCTCGGTGGAAATTACGGAGACGATGCTTTGGAGATGGTGTACCGTGTATCTTTGGTTTGTTTTCGACAACACAGTAGTATTTAATTTATATATGTATTTACGTATAGCATTTGACTATATAGTATTATAGTATTCTCAATATAGGGTGTAGCCCATTACCAGTAACAGTCGGTAAAGAAATATCATGAAATATCACTATTTTCAAGAAAGGCCTTTGCTAACCATCATCATCCACTGTTACTGGTAATGAGATACACCCAAACTCAATATTAATCCGCTCTATTTTCCATGATGTTGTGTATCAGGTACTGTACCAAGAGTAGGGTTATTTGGGGTCAAAATGCTTCAGCCATTTAACACTGGGTTCACGGAGCAATGCTTCATTGATGTGGAAGATCGCTTAAATCCATAGCAGAACACGACGTAGGATATAGAGAATTAAAAGATGCTCTCACAAGGTGCATCCGTTCTCTACTGGGTGTCTTATATGTTATTGTTTTTGGTTTTAACACCTTACGCGGGCCTATGGAGGATAATTTTATCCAGATGCAGGGCATGAGCATTTTTGTGCTGTCACCACTTGTGAGAGCTTTCATCGTTCCGTCCTCCGCGGTCTCCGATGGATCCATTTGATCCGCTCAGGAATTGCAGTCCCGAGGTGTGCAGAGAACTCAGATGTGGCGTGGTTTACCTTTAAGGCCAGAGTACCCCACGAAGTGGAAGGGCTGTTAGGGGCGAGACATGGACGTGTGCGCAAGTTTGTGTGCGAGAGATGCCATTCTCTTTTTTGCCAATTCAAGACCGGCAACTCGATCTGATGGAGACAGACTCAATCCTTTGGATGTACGGGGATTCTGGCCATCCGAGCTGGTGTAGGATGGCCGGTTGCGAAGACTGCATCGATCGGATCCCGTTGGTGAGCATGGTCGTTCAACATCCGCACAGACAAACTTTGCCAATGAAGTGGCCTGCAGAGACGACCCCTGCTTTTGGATTTGAGGAAAAACAGATAAAGAAAGCACACTTCATCCAAATGGTATATTTGTTGGTTTGGGGTGGTCCCTTCTCGTCGATGTCCCCCACTAGGCATTGAACTAAATGGATATATATATATATATTATGTGTTTGCATCTTCCTTTGCTGGTTTCATAGCCACTCAATAGTGATGTGTTTGTATCATGGTCCGAAGATCAAGCTAGCGTCCAAGCCGTGGGTGCTTTGCACCATCTCGGAGAGGAGATCAAGCGCAATCAAGCATTCTATAGCTGGTCAATCCCTTTGTTCAGTGAGTTTTGAGCGTGTTGTCCGTCAGGATCTTTGTGACAAGCCATTGGGAGCTGCAGATTATCTGGCCATTGGCAGTGCCTTCCACACGATTTTCATTGCCGATATCCCACGACTTACAATGCAGGACACTCTAGTCTTGTTGACTCTGGTTGAATTCCTCTCCCTGAAACGGAGCTGGGCCTCCGGTCGGCCACAGCGAGGTCGGCCCACGACCCCAGAAACAGAGTCGAGCTCTGGTGGACCAGATGGCGACCATGAGCAGTTGGACTCCTCTACCAGTTTGGAGTCATTTTCAGTTTCCACATGTGTCCATGATGTTTCATCAATGTTCATCATGTGTCCAGGTGTCCACGAACTTTGTTTGGTATGATGCCTTCAGGAGCGCGATCAAGTTCGGCGCTTCATCACGTTGATTGATGCACTATACGAATCGCATGCAAAAGTACCTTGGAAGACCATGCCGCAGCCGATGGGAAAGCCATCTCTTTTTTGAAGAGCTAGTGCATGCTACATCTTTGGGGCCTAAATAGGGGATAAACCAGCCTTTGGCAGAAGTCACTAAAGGGATCTTCCAGGGCAAGCATGCCGCAGCCACGGTGAAGGGCTACGTGAAGCACAGAGCTTTTACTTATGTCCCTCATGGTATCTCCTTCATGTTCAATCTAGATAGATCAAGCAAGCCAAAGCCAAAGCCCTGGACAGACCATTATCATCCATTATCACATTAAACTGGAATCAATGCCAGCTAGATCAAGATCCTTCAAGTTCCACACAGCAAAGTCGGTTATGCAGTACACCCTGCAAAGATTCATCATTGGCTTTGCATAAGTCCACATTAGCTTGACTGAAGCGTTCATAAGAGACCCGGACTGCAGCCGCACGAAGCGAGGTAGTTTGCACAGCAGCACTGGACCCAATCTCATTGTGTCTTGGCTGCGCAGTTGCTATTTCAAGCCGCTTGTAGCACACTCACACTTCAATATGTGTTTGAAGACCAGGTTATTTGGTCAGCAGTGGTTGATCACCACAAGATCAGCACTGTTGGCCACCCAGTGATACTGCTGGAGGGGGTGTTCCAGTGTCAATGACATACCCATTCCTCCAACTCGCTTCACTTCTTCTCCCGAAAACAACCAGCTCCCACCCCCCCCGGCTCACGTTTTAGCCCATGATCCTTTCCAATCGCGGTCGCCGAACCCTCGTCCCAACTCAAGCATGAACAGAACAGGGGTTCTTTCACGCGCATGCGTGACGTGACGAGAGAACCGCGTCATTTGCGTGACGAACTCGTTGAGAGTTTCTGTCGAAACAGGTTCCAGGTGTCGGCGGAGGAGAAGAAGACCTCCATCGCCGACGAGATCTTCGCCTGGGACCGTACAGTCAGCCGACTCATGGAACCTTGGACCGCACCGGAGCGATGCGGGTGGAGCAGGGGTGGGAGGTGCTTGGGGATCCCTGGATTGAGGTGAATGTGTGTTTTGCTTTTGTGGTATTGGTGTCAAACAAGGAGCGAGGAGAGTTGGGAGTTTGCAAGAGGAAGCCAGCTGTGCCACTCATCATACTGTAGCACATGTGTTCAAGGTGTGGGTGCTATTCGCATTAGTAAATATTTTTGCCGTAGCCACTGTAGCCACGCAGCTGGGAGCCCAAAGATGGGTCAGGAGGTGCCATCATCCTGCTTGTTGGCTTTCTGGGGTTCGGACACACATGAGTGACGCCAAAAACATGTATCATGTATTTTAGAGATTAAAGTGCACAAAGTGGCCAAAAAGATAGACAGGATTTCCTGTACACGTGCATCCAGAGATGTATTGTTTTTGTTTAATTTGTTGTTTTATCAGTAGATAGATCAAGTCTATGAACAGCTGCTCCTATTGATCAGTCCCTGGAGATGTTTATACCATTAAACATACCTCCAACTGCTACATCCGGGTTTCACGCTCGAGGCTTTCGCTGTTCAGCTCTTCCCCGTTACGACACCACCAGGGGTGACCGCCGTGACTGACCACGGACCGCGCGGTTTTTCCCCTGAGGAGATGCAATCGGCCACCTATCTTAGCCATTCCTTCCGGTCCCTTAGTGGGGAAACTCAGTTCCGAAAACAGGAGTTTTCAGCGAGTTCAGTTTGTTTCAAAGCGAAGCCTGTTTTAAAGCTGCAGCGTCAAGTTTGAGAGATTTGTACGAAAGAAGCCTGCGGCAACACAGAAATGGGTGCCTTCCACTGAGCTGGCACATTTTGCGTCAAGCTCGCAAGAGATATATACTGTTCTGTTGGATCTTAGAAAGAGAAGAATTCCGCGTCAAGCTTCATCCTCCAGTGGACCATGATCAGATCTTGTCCGGCTAACCCTCCGTTCACTTGCCTTGATTTGGAGGTCCAAAGAAACGAGCCTTTTCACCGCGCAGTGGCCGGTTCAGTGCCTCGCGCAGGGCTCGCGCCAGCTCGCAGTTCGCTCGGTGCAGGTGCTGAACAATTTCTCGGTCAATACAAGCTGAAGTGCTTGTCGGACCAGGACCCGTGTGCGGTTCCAACCGGGGTGTGGAGGAAGACGTCAGCGGGGTGTGGAGTTATTCATTCCACCGCTGGTCCTTTTGTGTTCACCAACCTGGACTGACACATGTTGGCCGAGGGGGCTGCGCTTTGTGCATCTTTGGGTGTGTGTTCGCTTAGATTGGCTTCGCTCGTCGTTCTCAATCTAAAAGACAACATTGCTCGCCCGGTATGCAGATAGTACGGGCTCTTTTCGACGCAGTTAAGTTTATTGTAGGTATAACAACCAGCCATTAGGCTACGCACTGCACGCTCAAACTCGCTGGAGTACGGTCGTGCTCAAATCGAACAGATCCCGTTCCTGCGGGCTGCGGTCAGAACTGGGGGCTACCACAACAACCCTCCATCAATTTGTTTTTGGTTTCAGTTGGTGCCGTCTTACAGCACTAGGGGTGTTGTTTATTGTTGTTCTGGTCTTGGACTATCTAGAACCCATTTGACCCTTGCTTTGGATAGGAAAGGGTCATATTTGGGGGTGATGGGTCCAAAATAGGGGTCATTCAATCACTAAGGTTCTTCGGTCGTCACTCGTCACCTTCGCTCATCCGCACCCGACCCAGGACTTCAAGGATCTGTGGCGGCGCCCCTGGGCGAATCCAAAGGGGCAGGAGTTCGTGCTGTGTGCGGCGGTGGTTTCATCGAATCCAGTGACATGCGACGGCACGCCATGTGAAACCGCACAACATGGAGGAACATAGCTTCTTGTTACTAGTAGCTACTACTACTGTAGGGTACGGCCAGGAGCCCCTAGTAGCGTCCTTGCTCCTAGTAGCGATGCCAGGAGCCCCTAGTAGCTTCTTGTTCCTAGTAGCTACCTGCTCCATGGGCCAAAAGCCCGGGACGTGCGGAAATAGCCTTTGACGGCACAACGCCTGTGGCGGCTGGATGTGGCTGGATGGTTCATGCATGTAATAGCAATGGCCTCCAACCTACTGGCAATGGCCTCAAACCTAAGAGCAAATTTGCAGACTTGTAACCAGATGCGTTGCTGGTGGAACCTTTTGTGTACAGGCATTTGAGATTATTCTTCTCCCTTGAAGTGTCTCCGAACCAACAAGAACGCTCAGGCTGGATGGGTTGATTTGAGCCAGGCGCTCTCTTTTTTCCCTTTGAAGGTTCTTGCAGGTTCTGGACCGAGTGCAGATGGTCCCAAAAATGGTCTAGAGACCACCCCTACCTTGTACTCCTACCACCATCTACCGCCCTAGGCTATGATCAAGATGACAACGGCTGCTTGGACATGCAGGACCACGGCTGGCGCAGATTGGGGGACACAGACAGCAGACACACACACAAACATGCTCGCCTGTCATGCGGCCCAGTATGCCTGTGGAGTACTTGATGCGTGTGCAGATTGGCTGGGTGGCTGGGTTTCGGATCTTGAGCTACTCAAAACATTAATCGTATTCGAGGTGTTCAGAGGTTCAGTGTTATCCAATATTATATATATACAAAAGCCAAATTCATTAGACTGGAAGTTAGCTCCCACATTGGTTTTGCGCCACTATTTTGCTGATGCGTTCACTTGGTGTGTTTGTGTGTGTGTGTCGTTCGCAGGAGTTCCGATACCTTTTGGAAGACCTCCTCGAACGTCAGTGCGGGCATCGGAACGTCTCCGACGAGCTGCCTTGGCGAAGAAGCGCAGCAGACAGCAGACAAAACCTAATAGCAGTGGCCTCTAACCATGGGCTCAATCACCCCAATGCCCTAATACCCAATCAATAGCAATGCCCATAGCAATTCTAACCTAGCAATGACCTCTGGGGCTCCAGCTCTCCGGAGAAGGCTGGGGTCCGTGGCTGGGAGGGTCTCACAGCTCCAACGGGGCCCCTCTGAGGATGTGGTTGGTGCCCTAGGGAACGTTTCGTGGAAGGGATGACCATGCCAGGCATGGCGAAAGATCATGAAATCCAAATACCAAACAGGGGGTGAACTCCACTTCCATGTTTTCTTGGGAGTTTGCAATTGTTTTGGTGGATTACGCCAAGGGCACCAAAAACCGCGAACCAAGTCCTTCCTGCCCAACCTTTTGAGAGCTCAGCAGCTTTTGCGGCAGTGAATGAGCCAGGATTTTAGTTAGAAATTGATTGTACATTTGGGTGGAAGAAAATTGAAGATTTTCTGTAGGACAAACTTTGGTGTGCTTGGGTGGGGGTCAGGGCTGCTCGTGCCATTTTGGCTCAAGCCCTGACCCCCACCATGATGAATTTTTGGTGGGGGGCGTTCGCGGTCGCCTGGACGCTCGATGTACCCCGCAGCGGCGGCGGCCATGGAGATGCGCTCCCTGGTGGAGCTTCGCGATCATTTTGGGGTCCCTGTGGACTTATGGCAGGCCTTCATCACGGAGGCCGGGAACCCGCAGGAGGACATTCGGCTTCTGGCGGCCTTGCCGGGCACGTTGGTGGCGGCAGCTTTGTCCCAGGCAGTCTTGCCGGGCGATGTGCGACTGTCGGCGATCCAGGCAGCCCAAGTGGGATTGGTTTGGAAGTTGGCGAGACGCCTTATGTTTGTGAAAGGGGGCGGCCAATGGGACGAATGGACGGAAGAAGATCCATGGTCATCCACACCGACCTCACCAAGCAAGGCATCAATGAAGAAGGAAAGTTCGAGCCCCGGGGAGACCACCAAGGAGTCGAAGGAGAGGACCCTGAAGTTCACCCAGGTATTGGACCAAGGAGACGATGGGGAATTCGAGGTGCTCAACGAGGAGGACAAGATGGTTCTACTCCAACGGTATGTCAATTCGACAGGAGCCATGCCAGAAGAAGAGGAGGAGCCGACCATCGAGCAGCTCTCGGCCTTGAAGAAGAAGATAGCTTTGTGCAAACCGCCATACTGCGACTTCGGTGTCTTCGTTCCTTTCGGTCGGAAGGCCTTGAGGGCTTCGAAATACAGGACATGGATACCGACGGCGGAAGGGTACGTGTCGAAGGAGCTACCGGGGCCGGCAAACTTTACGCAGTGGAGGGCTTGCTACAGGGTGTTCACTACGGCCATGTTGATGCTGCAAGAATGTGCGCTGGCCCCACTACACGCGTACGAGCTCTACGTGGAGAAGCTGACGAGGCTCTATCCCGATGCTTGGCACCTAGTGTACTCGGCCGACGAGATGGCGAGGTCAGAGCTGTTGTCTCGACTCCGCATCAAGATCAACCTGGACCAGAAGGAAGGCAGGCCAATACCCCCGCTCTTCGACGAAAGAAAACCGTGGGAAACAGTGTTCAAGATGATCCCGGGCGAACTGAAGTTTTGGCAGGACCAGATTCATGGTCCAGCCCTCACGTGGCTCGCCAGCGGATCAAAAGGAAAAGCACTTACCCCGCAGGAGACGGTAGCACAAGGTGCGCTACGGGGAGGAGCCGAGGCACTACAACCATCGATGGAGTCAGGCACTTTTGGGACCGCTTCGCCATCAGCCTCCAGTTCAACCAGGAAGCAGGTCAACAAAGAAAGACGAGAAGCCAAGAAGAGAAAATGGCACGCGGAAAGAGAGGAACTCCATCGACTCCGAGAAGGAAGGCACGAAGGGTCTCAAGGACGTCCACAAGGAAGCAAAGGCGCCGGAAAGAAAGGAAAGGGGGGGAAGCAGACCGAAGCTATTTGCTTCTCGTGGAACAACGGGAATTCGCCATGCGGGTCGCTCCCGCCGGGGGCGGAATGTGTGAACTCCATCAAACGGGGTCATCGATGCTCTTCGTGCGGTTCGCCGGGTCATCCGGCCATCCGATGTCAGACCAAGAAGTGAAGCCCTCGGGAGACAACGAACCAGGCGGTGACGAAGGGAAGAAGGAAGAAAAGAAGGAAGAGGGAGGTGAACAAGGTGGAGATAAAGAAGGAGAGGTCAGTGAGGAGGCAAAGAAGAAGTTGGAAGAGAAACTCAAAGCCTACATCAAGCGAAGGAAGTTTCGATTTGTACACCATTTCGCAGGACCTCGAGACCCGTTGGGAGCCGAGATTCACAGGGTGGCGAAGAAGAAGGGCCTCATCGTCGAGGTCATTGCGGCGGAGAAGGACTGGGGGGACGATTTGTGCGCCGACGAGCCCTACAACTCGCACCTGCGTTGGGCCCGAGAAGGTTTGATCGATGGGTACCACGCCGGCTTCCCTTGCTCGACGTTCTCGCGCTTGAGGTTCAGAGCGGGACCAAACCTTCCTGAACCTGTACGCACCCGAGCTGAACCATACGGACGGAGCTCAAACAACGAGCAGCAGCGCAGGGAGTGCGACAGAGGAACGGTGATGATGGCACGCTCCGTGCAAATGGCAGAGGAGGTGATGAAAACGCAGACCTCCCTCATCGTCCCGAAGGTGACCACGCTCGAGAACCCGCCGCCATCGGAACTGGAGGAGCACGTGTCGGCTTGGGGTATGGCCGAGGTCATCGGCTACTTGAGGCTGGCTGGCATCAAGATCTCCCTGTTCAACACGTGCGCCTACCAAGCAGACAGGGCCAGAGGAGACCGTCATTGGAAGATGCAACAGTTCGCGGGCTCGCTCTTTGGCATCGAAAGCCTCAACAGGGAGTGCAAGTGCGGCAATAGCAGACATCGACCGATCATCGGAAAGAAGGAGTCTCGAGAGTCGGGCGAGTACCCTTGGGAGCTTTGCAACAGCTATGCACTACTCCTCACTGGGATGAACCGTGTGCTTATAACATTTGCTAGAACTTATGAGGTGAGTTATAAGTGTTATAACATTTACAGGTCCAAGTTATAACCACTTACAATCATGTACATTATTGCTAAATTCATAAGTGGTTATGGTATACAAAAATAGTATTCAAAAGTCAAAACATGTGTATGTAAAAGTACTGATGTTTGTTTTTTATTCATACTAAGATGTATGCCAGACATACTATCCTGCATATATATGGGTTACAACCAAACACTACCTATAGTAAAAAAATATGATTTTTTTTTAAATATAACAACAAACTTTAGACAAAACAAAATCAGCAACTGCCAAATTGAAAACAAACATCCTGCAAATACTTTGCTGCACATTTTTACTGAACAACCACTTATAAAGTTTACCATGTCGCCCTTGCCATGTGCACAGGAAAACTTCAAAGGTGTATGTTGTAATTTTGTTCAACATCAAAACCAAAAACATACACAACATGTATTTCAAGCCATTTAGGCTTCATGAAAAGTTGTTGGTTCATTGCTCACATAAACTGAATTGTCATATTATTGTTTTCTCTACAAACATTTGCAAAGGTACTGTTATATGTCCTGCTAAACCCTTGCAGTTTTGCAAGGGTCCAAGAAAGAGATGCTATACAGCAAACTAATTATGGATCTTCTGGAACTTGTGCTTGTTCATCATGCTCACCTTGTAGGACTTTCTCTTAAAGTTATTCTTCCTCTTGAGCAACTTGAGCATCTTGGCCTTCCACTTGCAGATGTGGTATTTCTTCTCTTCCAGTGTTGTCCAAACCCTCCTCCAAAAGGTGCTTGTCCAAATTCTCTCAAAGGTCTGCAGTGTCCCTGGACAAACCCATTGCTCAATCCAAACTTGAGGCATGCTATAGACAGGGCTTTGACAGATCCAAACTTGCTGCCATAAAATGTAGACAAACCATGCCCTGATCAGTAGCCACATGGCTTGATAAAGCACATTTGCTTGAACTATGCATGGACATGACATGTGCATGGCCTACATGACAAACACATGGCAAAGTTGAAAAGCCACATGGCTTGATAAAGCTCAGTTGCTTGAGTGCAAATATCTCATATATGCCCTGATCTTCCAAAAGTCTCTATTTTAATTTAAAGGGTTTTCTATCAACCTTATTTAAGGACTATAGTCTTTAATTAATTTAAGGGGTTTTCATTTGAAAGAGTCCACATGAGTGCTTGCAATGACCTGAAATGCAGTGAGCTTCTGTGCGTGCCCACTCAGTCGCTGCCGCCTGGATATAGCATCATTTTTTTTTGAGGCAGCCATGAGCGGCGGCCGCGCGCGCAACACAGCAAGCGCAGCGGAGCTATGCAGGCTGATGCGCCTGCATGTGGGCCACTTGGACGAGGAGAAATACAGGGCGAGCAACTATGAAGATGTGGTGACAGAATACGAAGAACTCATGTTGGACATCCTTGCTTTGACAGAGCGACCCAACCGTTCAGCCTTGGAAGCTGCTGCCACACTGGAGTGCAGGCTTCTGAGAAGGCCATGTTTGCCCAGCAGTTGCGCAAGGCATTCAAAGCGTGCAGGACGAAGGCCAAATCTGTGACGTCAGGGGCAAAGACCGCAGCTTCTGTTCTCCGTGTGGTGAAGCGATTGCGCGACCTGGGCAGATCCTCTGCGACACCGTTGCCGGTGGCGTCAGGAACTGCCGCGTCCTCAAGCGCAGGCGCTAGGCCAGACACAACCGGCTCGGACAATGCGGGCATTCTCCAACAGGATGTGTTTGCTGCCATGGGTGTGTCACCGCCAAAGAAAGTCAGGCGCTTGGCTCCACGCCCCTCCGAGGCTTTGACAGTGGCGAGCTCAGCGCCGGATTTGAAAGAGGGGGCGACTGTGGCGCATTTCTTTGAGTGGGAGAAGCGTGTGGCAGTGCGCATGCATCCGGGTGGGCGTCGGGAGGAAGCTAAGATGAGCGCTGGGAGCAATGGGTTCCTAGTGGCAACTTGG